CATATGTCAACTTTTGACATTTTTGCATATGGTTTAATTGTAATTGTAATACGCGGTTCATAACGACAATTTGACTCGAAATACCAAGTGTGTGGTATCAATATATTCATAAAAAAATGCTTTTTCCAAATATGCTAATGAGTCACCCTTGTTCCATTTGAAAAAATTGACATATGTATGATAAAAATACGATTTGTACATCTTTTAACTGGCCTAGACAAGACACGAAACCCATTAGACGATCAAACCATTTTTCCAAGGATCTTTGATTAAACCTTAGTGTTTTTAACAACACCATGGCACCCTGGATTGAAATTTAAAATACGATTTGTTTTTAAGCGACAATGTCAAAAGTTGACATATGATATGTCATTCTATTTAGAGTGTCATTTTTTATCGAATAAAGTAGCAATATAACGAAGGTGCCTTTAAAAATCAAAAGATGTAATCATTTCGGTGAAACAGGAAGAGACCAAAAACAATTGAATACGTCAATAAATCCTAATTTATGTCATATACCTACTAACATACAAATCTGTTTTTTATCTGAAAAATATAAAAAGTTATAGGGGTGAGCCACTTTGAGACGACCCGTATATTAAAAAATATTGTTTCATAATGTAATATCATTTTAAAAATTCTTGTATGTTATTTTAGATTCTGAAGATAATTTTAGAATAAACCGGAATATATTTTTAATAAAAGCATTATTAATTAACAGGGTTATAATTATGATCTTGTTACAATGTAAGTAAGTAAATACTGTAATGCAAGAGAAAAAATTCAGATTTTACATTTTACTAAAATATTATCTAAATAAGAAAGTCGTTTCAAGACTTAAATGGATTATTTAAGTCAAATTCTTGCAGATTTGGCACTGACGAACCATATTTTATAGCCTTCTTGAACAGAAAAAGTCAATAAAATAAACACTTAAAGACTACAAGCTAAGAAAATGCGTTAATACAGGCGGGGACATAGCGGCAACAAAGCTTTAAAGCTTTACCGCACACGTGCGACGCGTACTACAAGGTAATAAATGAATGAATAGGCTCCCTCGCTTCTAATCGGTGTTGTCATATTGTAAAGAACTTATCCTTTTTAAACAGTATCCGACTTATAATTTAGTAGTATAAGGACTATTTAATACATCTATGGAATATTAAAACCTACTTTGTTAACCTGTAGTATTAATATCTCAATATATGCGTATAACAAGAAAAAAATATTGATAATATTAAAGACGTGACAACATAGGCTGGATGAGGAAAGCTCGGTCGACTGTACCCAGAAGTAAACATGTGTACAAAAAAGATTGTTTGACCGCGTTGAGATGTAAATAGTGTAGTCTATATTTTATTTTAAATCTATGCGCCCAAGAGTTTTTCTTTCTGAAAAAATATGGACAAGTTTTTTTTTGTATTTTCTATGATATTAAAAAAATATTTTTAGTAAGAATTTAAAAAGTTAATAAATAATAATAAAAAAGTTAATTAAAGTTAATTATAATGAAAGAAGCGATAGTCTCTAAAAGAAAAATAGAAGAAGTTTTTTTAATACAATCTAATAAAAATAAATGTATTGCTTATGCATCTGTAGATGTTAGTAATGTATGGCAATCGCTTCTTTGATTTTAAAGAACACAATTTTAACAGAACGTTAACGGGTTTTGTAGACGTAACTGTTTTAAAAAAACTAAAGTGTTCACAAAAAATATAAAATCGTTGCATTTAGATATTTTAAATAGATTTGTTCTTTGTTGTTTTGTGTTTTTTTGCTTCTGAGCGACGGAAAGAGATATACTTTCCGAAAAAAGCCTAACGGACAAAAGCATTTTATTGTCCTTTAGGCAAATTTGTTTATTACACAGAGGTATAGACATTTTTTAAAAAGTTTTAAGTAATTAAAAAAATAAATTTACTTTTTTAATATGAATTTGAAATGTGTTTTCGAAAAACCAGAGAAAATTTAAAGAAAATTACCTATAAATCACCTTATGCTTCACGAATTTTCTTCTCTTTTTTCTTTTTAAGGAATGATGGAGTTCTTAAACCTTTCTTTTTCTTCTTATCTTTCTTTGGAGATCCTTCAGATATAGAGTGATCCTAAAATACACAGTTTATGTTTAAATTCATGAAGTTAAATATAAAATCTTTTATACCTCTTTACTACTCTGAGATAATGTACTCATATGAGCATCAGACTGGTCACCATTTACAGTATTCTCACCTAAAAATACAATATTAGTAGAAAGCTAAAATATATTGAATATTTCACAAGATTACTCAAGAGTCTTAGTAAAAATAATGCATTTTATTTAAAATTCTAGATAGTTAGGAGAGATAGTTAATTAAACCTGTATGCTTATTAACCAAAGTTATCATTCAAAAAATATAAGACTTTTGAGTTACCTTGGCTTGCTATATAAAAAAAAATAGTTAAGTACAGAAGATTCTAATAGTAACTCGTATAATAATTAGTAGTGGGAACTATCGAATGAATACTATCGAAACATTCGATAGTTGCAATTCATTCGAATAAATCGATAGCTAGTAAGAAAACATTCGTCGAAAACTATTCGAATAAAAATTATCGAATAGATCCGTCATCTGCCTTGAAATATTGTATTTTAGTAATTCGGCAGCAAAAACCATTCATTTATCAAATTCATTTATTCGTCAGGATCGATTTTAATGAAATTTAAACTGGATTTTAGTTGTCGTCCGGCGACGTAGGTTTCTTTCCTAGAAACCCGACAGCGGTCGGTGGCAATGCTATGAAAGAAGCCGGCATCTTTGATTTTTTGCGGAGTCAAATAAAGATAAGGACACATTATTTTTTTATTGAGGTGCTAGTATTTACACAGAAAATACATTATGAAGGGCGCTGTTGCCATATATTCGTATTAGTTAGTATTAGCAAAGAATATTATTCTTTAGGATTAGTTAGTTAGGGATAGTATGTCTAATGTTTTGCATCTTTTTTTATTAATATTCTGTTATTACACTGCAATAATACTTTTTATTTTGGATGTAGGAAAATGATTTTTAATGTTTTTAAGCAAAGACTGGTTTAATAAATAATAATAACAGTAATAATTTGTTATACCTATTAACAACAAAATTTAAAATCATTTAATAATATAAACATTTTTTTAAGTAGTAGCAAAATATAAACAACAAATAGAAGTCAAAGTATTTATATTAGATCCTATTTAAAAATAATATAGTCTCTAAATGGCAACGTTGGTTTATTAAATAATAATAGTTACAGAACTAATTTGTTATAATAACAACAAATTTTAAAATCATGAAATATAAACATTTATTAATTTTCTAAGCATGCAGTGTAATAGAAGGAAAATATATATAAAAAATTAGAAATCAAAATTATTTATATTACTTTTTATTACTTTATATTACTATTTAAAAATAATATTTACTTTTACTGACATTTACTTTAAAAAATAAATTAAATATTTCTTCGCAAAAAACTAAATGTAAGAGAATTAGCATAAACAAAATACATTGTTAACTTTTTTTTTAAATTGGCACGTGTAAAACTTTCAATTAAATTTTTTCACCCCAAAATTTGAGTTACTTAACCACATTACTTAAATATGATTATTAAGTTCCAACTAATTCATATTATTAAAACATCCAAAATACAAATATGTATTTTTAAAATTAATTGTAAGTTCATCTCATCTCTCTTAAAAATTGTTTACAAATTTCCCATTAAAAAAATGCAATCTAACCTAACCATAATATACCATATAAAATTAAATAATTGAAAGATCGGGCTACGGAAAATCACACAAATTTTCGGAAAAATTTTGACCACTTCGCACACAATCGTCAATTAAAAAAAAACTACTATTTTTCTATTTTAGTATTTTAAATATTTTAATAAACGCAAAAATAGCATAGTATTTACAAGGCGAGGTTATAAAAATTTGGAAGAACTAATAATGCACTGACGCACACAAAAATCAAACGAATACTAAATTTCATTTATCAAAAACATTCGATAGTCGTGGCTCGTGGCGCAACGATAACCATTTAGTCGCACGGCGAGGTTGTCACTTATGCTTTAATATACAAATAAATGAATTATTTTATTCGAATAAAACCATTCGATAGTTGAAATCATTCATTCAGTAACCATTCGATAGTTCCCATCGCTAATAATAATATATACCGATCTGGTCATCGACACTGCGTGGTCTGGATTTTAACGTGCAAGACAGTTTAATGGAAAATCAAATGTATTAAAAAGAGATAAAAGTTGGGTTGATGCATTTTTTCTGTGCAGTATTGCCGGATTTTGCATCAAAATTTCTAACTGCACAAGTAGGCGTTTACTAAAAATGTTACATCTAGGGTTGAAACGTTATTTTACTACAGCTCTGTAATAGATTATATTTAGCTTAGGTATATTATCTTCAATTCAGTAGTATACATGACATTTTTTAATATAGTTTATTTTTTTTCTATGCACGTTTTCCTAAACACGTAAAAACCGACAACACTGTATGACGCTTTTTATTTTGTCTCTCTGTCTGTCAACCGGATATTTATATTTAGCTCTGTCGCATGCACTAAAATACAGACCACGCAGTTTCGATGACCAGATTGGTACGAAATATCATTCTTATTGATATTCCGTATAACACATAGTATTAGAACGTTTAAAATGGTATATTAAAGTCTTCTGTCCCCATATCTTTAATTTTGATGTATCTTCCAATTATATTTATTAATTTACAGTTTAGAACATCTAAATGAATTACTTACTGATAATAAAATATTCTTTAAGAATTAGTAAAAATAATGTACAAATATTACATTATTAACATCAAAATTATAGTTCTTCCAATGTTTAATAGATAAGAATTACCTGTTATCTTCAAAGGTTAATATATTATAAGGAAGTTGCAAATAAAATAATTCACACAGACAATAAACATGCTACATATATTCAATTCAAAAAACTTAAATGCAATACAAGGAACAAAAATTAATATTTAAAATTTAGCTTTCTCATAACCCATCCAATCACCTGAATTATTCTTTGACATATTTTCCTTATCTTCGTCGCTTAACATACTGAACTCATTGCACTTATTATCATCATTATTATTCTTAACTATTACGTTTGTAGTAAAAACCACCCTACTTGTTCTACCCAACGCACTTGGTTCGCCTCTATAAAACTGTATCTCGTTATGCACAGCAACGTTAACTTCGGTATCAGTATCAGACAAAATTAGTGATTCGGAATTATTTTCACCAAGCTCAGACGAATCTGCAACATCGTTTAAGCTGCTATCGTCATAAAGAAACTCATACTCAAATAAACTATTAGACTCCTCAACCACTTTATGATCAGGTGATAACTGAGTATCAAATAAATTTTTAATACTTTCTTCCATGATCGGAGACAAGGAACGACGTCGACTTTGTTTCTCTTGTGGCGAAATATTATCAATACTATTTCTTAGTAAAGAAAAAGTTGAGGCTTCAAATAGTGAAGTTTGCTCTATTTCACATTCATTAGGAATATTATCCACATTTATTACAGGTCTTTTTGCAGGAGATTCGGGTTTCAGTGGACTTACTGTATACCAAAAACTTTCAGACAGATTCTTTGAGACTTTCTTGAATGCCGTAACAGATATTTCTGGGTCTGTATTTAAACGTTTGTTTTCATTAGATTCTTTTGCTGGCTTAAAGTCAGGTTTTTCTGGAGTAGAATGTTGTCGATCCTGTGACAGTAAGTCTTCGGAAAAATGTGTAAAATTATCTGCATCGATCGCGTTAAAAAGCTTGTCCAATAATTCTGACAAAAATTCAGAAATCACAAACAACCTATCTGATATATTAAATGCGTTATCAGAGTCGTTCGAATCATTCTTCAATCTGTCATCGTTTCTAAGTAAATTTAAGACATAATTAGCGATTGAAAACCTTAATTGAGTTTTTGTTTCATCATCTGCCACTTCACTGTAATATTCTTTATATAGATCTTTCAGTTTTGTTAAAAGTTTAATTGTAATTTCGTCATCTTTAATTTCAGGAAGTATTATGAGATCGCTAAGTTCAAACCCTTCGTTACCTAGATAATCTGCAATAACTGACCCAAATTTTGAAATGTTATGAATATTATTTATCAATAAATTCGTATTAGTAAATTCTGAAAGATCCGCTACTCCTTCGTCAGTTTTTATATCTGGAACATCATCGTCCAAATTTTCATCATCTACAATTGACTTTTCAAGTTGATCAGCTGCTTTTGTAGATGTCTTATTTTCAGCTTGTTCAAAAATATCAGAAGTATTTGAATCTATAGATGTTTTATCTCCACTAAAGCTACTACTGTTATCTTTAAATATTACAGAACTGGAACTTTCAGAAGACGGAATTATCTCATTATTTTCATCAGCAATTACTATATTCTCGTTGGGAGCTAATTCAGCAAATCCTTCATTGTTTTCGTATTGTTCAAGCTCAGTAAACTCATACTCCTCAGGTAACTTATCATCAGGTTTATTAAATGATTTAACAAGGCTCTTTTGCATATTTTGTAATACTTCCTTTTCAAAAGAACTATGTGTATCAGAAACGTGCAAAGTGTTAGAGGTAGAATCAACATAGAGTGGTGTATACTGAATATTATCCAGCTGATTCTTGAAATTTCGTTGAAAATTATTCATATATGCTGTTTGACAAGCTTGGCTATTTAATATTGGTATGTCAATCAAATTCAAAGCTTCAGCAAACGGCAAAATAAACGCTTTTAAGCTATCTAATGAAATATTCACAGTAATTGGATGTGTTGTATCAATTAGTTTTATTTTAGTAATGTTTATATTGATATTTTTAAGAGGATGGTTAGTGCGAGATGATGCGTTATTTTTATAAGGTACCAATGAAACAATCGTAGGACGTTTGATTAGTGCTACTTTAGTTTCGTGTACGACGTGGAAATGTAATGGATTGGGAATAATATAGGAACCCTTTGGAAAACCTGCGTGACTTTGAGTGCGATAGCAACTTCTAGGTAATTCTATATTAAAAATTTGGTGGGTTAGATCTTCATCATCTGTAATAAACATGATGGCGTGTTAAAAAGAGTACTTATTAGAAAATGAGACCCAAGGGATTCTGAAAAGCTAAAGCTCGTGAAAAAAAAACGCTAATTGCGGGATGGGGATTATATACATATGCATCTACTGTGAGGGCAACTGTTACTTTTGGGTCGGTATTTACATGTGTGGAAGTAAATCGCATAAGGATCTTATTGAGTCGGAGTGAGAGAAATGCAACGGTGTACTGTTGCGGCGTTGCCACATTTTCCCGGTAAGTTTTTGGAATTATAAAGATATCGTTAAGGTCTCCATATTTTTTATAACGAGAAAACGTCAGTAATCGCGATAATTTAAATCTCAACTTTTTAATACATAACACGCGATAACTCAAGAACCACTTTCGAAATTGAAACTTTTTTTTATTTTGAGGCTCGGATCTTTTACAAGGCTTTTAAACGAGAAAAATTCTTTTTTTTTTCATTCAAAAATTTTAAAATACCCGTTCATTTACTTTTAGAACATAGCAACATAGCATCAGCAACCGTGTAACTTTTTATTTATAAAGATTTTCACATACTGTGTGCGAAGAAAATATAGCAGAAGTATTAAGAAAGTTTTTGAAAATAAACTAAGATCAATTATTTCTAATAGATTTCGAAATATATATCGATTTTTGAATTCAGAGTTCTAATAGCGCGACCACTGTCAAACACCAATTCAATTCCACTTATTTTTATCAAAAGTGCAAGTGCTTCTAACTTGCACTTAAAAATTTACAAGCTATAGGGAAAATGACAACGACTCGTGAATAAATAAACAGATAAAGTATCACGAGACGTAATTAAATCGTAAAGCTGAACGCATGATGTACACCCGTCCATGAATTTGAAATACTGATTAGGTATCCCCTTCCACGTCTCTTATTAGCACAGTTATAGTGCACAGATTCTCGGTTTATTTCATACGTTTGGCAACGTTTTTACTGTTCTCTCTTTGTTCAGTACATTATAAACGCATTGTACTCTTCTTACACACGGAAATTTCGACCCAAAACTAACCTTTGCCAGCCCTTAGTATAAAATTAGACTACAAAATTAAATAAGCCGACAAAGCAAAGCATGACATACTGTGAAATTAACTCAATATCACCTTGATATAACTGAAATATACTTACTTCTAGAACTGTTAACTGAATGCCTTTCAGCTCTCAGGAACTGTTCCACTGGTGTGGTCGGTGAAACTAAACATGCAAAAAGGTGTAATTACATGCAAAAAAAATGCCAAAAAAAACTGCATATGACAGCCAGAATAGTCAAATAAACCAACACTATTAAGCCAACTAAAATTTACTGTAAAACAAAGTACTCAACAACTTACCATCACTTAGAACTACTTCTGGTTGGCTTGGTTTCGGTGCTGTTGTGGTTTCTATCCGAAGTATTCGGGGTTCTATCAAAGAAAATTATGTAGTAATTCAAAATGCACAATGTTTAAAAATTTACCATCTCTACTTTCTTCTTCTGTTTCGCTCGTCACAGATGTAGGCGATCTTAAATGGAGGCTATCCATTCTTTTATTTATATTAGATGAAGACAAACCTTCCGATTCACTATAATCAGTATCGTCTAAAATTAAAAAAAAAACAGTAAGTTCTCAAGTCGCTAATGGGCAGTTACAATAATAAATAAATGCCAGACAGAAAAAGAAATCAATGAAATAAAATGACAAGACAACTAAATCTAACGTCATCCTAGATCATATATACTTAACGTCATATATTTTCTTTGAAATGTCTTTGATAGAGAAATTTCAACTTTACTTACATTCGCCTCTTGACTTCTTCTCCACGACTTTCTTGTAATCTTCTAGTTCTTCATCTGTCACCGAATCAAATGGATTTTTAGCATACGGGCTCTTATATACCATGGCATTGTGTTGGTGCCCTCTTTGGATGATACCCTTAGAAGCAGCTCCCATTAAAACTACATGGTCACCTAGGTACAACATATGATAGTCATTAAATAGCGAAAAAAAAAGAATAAATAACAAAATGTCTACCTGTTTGTGTCACAGCGGCATCTTGCATCTTCCGAGCCTCTTCCCATGTAACGCCTTCAAGAATGTGAGATTGGGGACCAGCGGAAATTTTATCGGCACGTCTATAGTCCTTAATCTGTGATTGAATGAATAAGTTACAGAGATACAAAAATTAGTTTATGTAGTTTTATTATTCCTCATATTAAGTTAAAACTTACATTACATTTTCAGAAATTTAAGAAACGAATATACAAGGTGATCCAACGTTCTGAAATAGCTCTATCCTCTATATCAGGTTACTGAGATATAAGTTTATTTAAGATTTTTACTCCAAAAAATATATCACGTATTTTAAAAATAATAATGTCAATATAGAAGATGATTCAAACAATAGTTGATTGCGTACACATTTTGGAACGCTGGTCACCGTTTAAGAGAACTTCTTACAAACTTTAAAAATATTTATACTGTGCTGGAAACTCTTACTTTTGGGTCGGTATTTACATGTGTTGAGGTAAATCGCATAGGGATCTTATTAAGTCGGAGTGAGAGAAATGCGACGGTGTGCTGTTAACGGCGTTGCCACATTTCTCCGGTACGCCTTTCCCTATCAAGTAAAATCACGATCGCAAACCGCTTATTTTTAAAAGACCTTCTTTTCGAAAAGATAACTAGATAAAATCATTAGATATGTTTCTAAGCAAAAAATAGAATTATAAGGATATCGTAAGGGTGTCTATATTTTTATAACGAGAAAACGTCAGTAATCGGGATAATTTAAAAACTCAAATTTTTAACACATAAAGCCGGGTCTCCACCAAAGCAACATATGTCGACGACATTGTCATCAACTTTTGTTACTATTTTCATAAATATTAACCACTACCAAAGAAATATTGATGCTCGACTTCATTTTTCGACTATTTTAAGAGCGAAAGTTTATTTAGTGTTTATCAACATGTGGAACGACGAGCATGTAATTATAATCTCAGCTGCCTTCCTTATTATTTCGCGAAATGAGCGTCATCAAGCCAGACGGCAACGTCGTTCTTGGATACGTCCTAGCCTCCGGAAGAGAAATTTATATAGTCTTATATATAGACTTGCTCACTGATCTTTGTATAGATGACTTAAATCCGCTCCACAATAAAATAAGAAGTAGTTTCAAGAATTTTCTAAGAATGAGTTGAGCTGACTTTGAATCATTGCTCCAAATGATTGGTTCCAGGATCTGTGTCTATAAAAGGAATGCGGACAAAAAACATTTAAATAAACAGCAATATATTTTATACGGCGACTTGACGAGTACGTCACCGCAAATCGCTCCGCCCACTCATTTTATTGGCTACTTACAAATTTGTCGATTTTTTATTGTTGGGACGCGTCGTCTAATTTTTTACGAAAAACATCGAGAGAATATCGTTTCCCCTCTCACGGATACCCCGTAGCTACAGAACGGACAGACGTACTGTATCATTCCAGGCATCATACTTTCTATTTCTGTTTTTATACCAAGTATGCTTAGTGTCCTAAAGTTCGGGGTGGGCTTGATATTTTTCAATCAGATTTCTTGTTTTATCATTTATTACTCCACACCAAATTTATTTTTAGCAACAGAATCAAAAACAAACTTCTGGCCTTGTACCTACACGAGTACAAATGGCAAAATATACCCGATAAAGTTACTGATAGGAGTTGAATCGGTGGAGACGTCTTTCGACATGTTTGTAAACATTGTCGTCGACACGATTTTTCATTGATGTACCGCTCCTCAAGCGAAACATGAAACAAAGTCGGCGACTTAAATCTGCGACATAAAATGCCGACGACTTTACTGAATTTTCAGCAACATACCGACAAATGTTGCTTTGGTGGAGACCCGGCTTAACACGCGATAACTCAAGAACCACTTTAGATATTGAAACTTTTTATTTTGAAGTCCGGAAAAATTCGATAAGCTTGTTTTTTTTCGTTCAAAAATTTTAAAAAACCCGTCCATTTACTTTTAGTGCATAGCAATTTTCAGCAATCGTGTAACTTTTTATTTGTAAAGATTTTCACATACTGTCTGTGAAGAAAATAAAGCAGAAATATCAAGAAAGTTTTTGAGAAAAACTACAATCAATTATTTCTAATGGATTTCGAGATACCGATTTTTGAATTCAGAGTTCTAATAGCGCGACCACTGTCAAACACCAACTCAATTCCACTTATTTTTACTAAAAGTGCACAGATTCTCGGTGTATTTCATGTTTGGCAACGTTTTTACTGTTCTCTCTTTGTTCAGTACCTTATAAACGCATTATACTCTTCTTACATACGGAAATCTCGACCCAAAACTAACCTTTGCCAGCCCTTAATATAAAGAATTTAATTTTAATGAAAAATAATAAATAAACAATAAATCTTCAATGACATTAATAACAGTATTACTTAAATAAAGCTGAACGCTTACCTCTTGCTGTTTCTTTTTAAACTCTTTTGGATTAGTACCCTGGGGCACAAACTGTAATGCTGCATCTATTCGTACTGGAGTACTGGAATGACTGGGAGATCCGTCAGCTACCCACTGAAACAGCAAAACCAGCACATCAGAATATTTATAAATAATTATGAAATATACAAATGCCCGTTTTAAAATTCGTAAAGTGTATGATGTACCAAGTTAAATTTTAAAGGTGTGCCTGTGTTTCCCGCAATGTCACAAACGTTATCAATGTACTGGTTTTGCTGTTAACACAGTGTAAAAAGGCAAGCTGTTGATTTGACAGTTGCAAATGACAAAGGGACGAAATTGCGGGCACACTTTCAAGATTGTTTTAGCACATATTGTCGTCACAAAATTTTGTAGCCCTGGTCACTTCACCTGCGTGATCTGTATTTTAATGTATGCGACAGAGATAAATATAAATGACCGGTTGACAGACAGAGAGACAAAATAAAATGTACGTTTGTAGGAGAATTTGTGTAGAAAAAAAACTATTTTAAAAACTTTCATGTATACTACTTGAGATAAAATATTTAAACTAAACATAATCTATGACAGCTATACATTGTGAAAAATAAAGTTCCAACCCTAGATGCAACATTTTTCATAAACGCCTACTTGTGCGGTTTGAAATTTTGATACAAAATCCGGCAATACCGCAAGAAGAAATGCATCAACTTAACTTTTATCTCATTTTAATATATTTGATTTTCCATTAAGCTGTCTATACCACTGTCTTGTAAAAATCCAGACCACGCAGTTTCGATGACCAGATCGGTATATGAACAGATTTATACAGGGTGTACCAAAAAGTTCGGAGTATATAGGATTTTTTATTATCGAATTTTAAAATATAATTTCATGTAAAATTTTTTTAACATATCCAATACGAGAAATATTTTTGGCTGTTATTATTGAGCATGCTAAAGAAATTCCGTGTGAGTATACTTTTTTCAATAACTCCATAATAAAAAAATCCCATTGTTGCGAAATTTTTGGCAATTAATTAAAGAAGTTACCATTTATATCATATACCTTACAGTCAAATAGTTTTATGATCAAGTGAGCTTTGACTTTCGCAGTTAAAACAATACTAACATATTTCCCATAACATTGTTGATGCTATTATATGGAGCTTGCTTCATCATATAACTTTTTGATCATATTTGTATTTTTTATACAGAAATTTTGCAAGTAAGACCTTTCCATATCTGATTTATGATGATAATGGTGCCCCACAACCTATTAAAGCATTTTTATAATAAGTAATAGGTAAGTAAATTCGATAGAGATATATCAAAGATGTTATATGGAAGAAAAATGGAATAGAAACGATATTATGCTTCATTTCTGTTATTTTTATTAAGCTTAAGCTAAGCATCAACATATTTTGAATATACATACATTTGCCAACTACAACTAGACTAGATAGTATTGCCATCTTACTTTTAAAAAATAAAGTACGGAGTATAAATAAGCATAATAAGATGTATTATAATATATCAAAAGGCATATATGGCACACACAAATTTGGTCTTAAAATATCATACTGATTAAATAAAGACTTACGGACTAAAATATCATTACAAGGAATGAATATTCAAATACTGTTAAAAATATGTTTAAACAATTGTATAATATTAGGTATAATTTAAAAAGTGCTTCATTATGCATATGGCCACCAATAACCATATACAGGGTTGTTCACCACATACGACACGGAGTATTGTAGCTAAACGATTAGATTTTTACAAATTGTAAGTTTTGGGTTTGTTGAAGGCCTATTAGAGCTACAATTTAAAAATATTTTTACAAGATATAGAGTGTCCCAAATAAGTAAAAAATATCAAAGTTGTATTTTTTTTAAATGGAACACCCTGTATATTATTACATTTTTAGTTTCTACGATTAAAATAAAGGTACATTTGATTAAGATTTATTATACTTAAACCTTACCGTTTTTGAAATATTTTCAATTTTGTGAAATTGCAGTAAAAATTTTAAGGCTTCATTTCTCCAAGGGTATCAAAGTTTTTAATACTAAATATTTACTGAAGTTTATTTACTGATCAGTTATTGTGTTGCAATAATAAAAATAATACTACCTTATACAGAGTGTCTAAACATTTATTTTAAATAATTATTAGCTTCAAACGGCAATAACTTGTTTAATTTAAATGGAACACCCTGTATATTTTACGAGAGTCAGATGCACAATTTAATTGTCTATCAAATTATATTATACCATTTTTGACCTATCTCTTTAAGTTTCCGTAGAAAATGCATTTTCTTGTAATTTAGAACCTATTTATCAATATACCCATGGACTATTGACATTTTAGATTATTTTTAAAGATGTACTAAATTTTTAAAGAGTACAGATACTAATATTGTCGATATAATTCGTTTATTTCATTAAAAAATAAAAAAAACTGTTTAAATATTTGTTAAAGAGGATCAATTAATATGATTCCAGCTGTGATTCCAGTATTCAAACTACATTAACTGACTGTTTGCGTTGATTAATAATAATTGCTCCAAATACTAAAAAACTGGATTTTGTATGGGCATTAGACAGTGTGATAAAAAGTAACACCTTAAAAATGATATTTCATTTTTTAATAAATGCTTATTTATAACAACAGAGACTTTAATTTGATAAGTTATTATTATATTGATTTCTGACTCAAATCCACATTTATTTATAATAATTTATTAACGAACACAATTAAGTATGTAATTAATTAGTATATGGGCGGAAATAATGGTGTTATATTTAATTAATGGTATACTCTTTTATAAAGATTTAAATAGTTTTCTTTTTGCATACAAATGGGCTAGTAATATTATCGTTTTGCTAAAAACGATAATATTACTAGTCTGTACATTTTGTACATTTGTTGCTTTAAAAACAATCTAAAATGTCAATATTCCATTGATATATTGATAAATGAGGTCTAAATTATAAGAAAATGCATTTTCTACGAAAACTTGAAGGGATAGGTAAAAAATGGTATAATACAATTTGATAGACAATTTAATTGTGCATCTGATTCTCCTAAAATATACAGGGCATTCCATTTAAATTAAAGAAGTTATTGCCGTTTGAAGCTAATAATTATTTAAAATAATTTTTTAGACACTCTGTATAAGGTAGTATTATTTTTATTATTGCAACACAATAACTGATCAATAAATAAACTTCATTAAATATTTAGTATTAAAAACATTGATACCCTTGCAGAAATGAAGCTTTAAAATTTTTACTGCAATTTCACAAAATTGAAAATATTTCAAAAACGGTAAGGTTTAAGTATAATAAACCTTAATCAAATTTACCTTTATTTTAATCGTAGAAACTAAAAATGCAATAATATACAGGGTGTTCCATTTAAAAAAATACAACTTTGATATTTTTTATTTATTTGGGACACTCTGTATCTTGTAAAAATATTTTTAAACTGTAGCTCTAATAGTCCTTCAACGAACCCCAAACTTACGACTTGTAAAAATCTCATCGTTTAGCTGCAATACTCCGTGTCGTATGTGGTGAACAACCCTGTATAGACCCTAAGGTAATTTTTGCTGAACATTGGGGCAAACTCTATTCAATAATGTTAAGATAATTATTAGAACATGCTGATATTAATATTATTTAACACCAATTATATTTCTTTTATATATTATATTCTCAAAATACACGCGAACTCTTTTTGCATTAAAATGGAATGAATAAGTACACAAATTTCCCAAAAAAAAAATAAATAATTTTATCCCATTGTAAAACAATTATGTAAGTTTGAAGCAAATATTATTTTTGAAAACTACAAATGTATCTAATCACTGGTTTGGGATATTTTACCCCTTAACTAATTCAATAGAAAATACCCAACTATTTTAAACTTAATATTAGATGATATCATATCGGCATATTTTTTTAATATCAATTTTACCACGTTATATGAAATACTATTCTAAATATATTTTTAATAAAGTAGGTACTACTATTGTGACTTTGAAGGAATTAATTTTAGTAGAAGCAAAAGCTTATTCTTTATTCTCAAATTTTATAATTTCTACCTTAGTGATTTTCTTGGGGTCTGGAGTGCCTGTTTCCAGGATCTCAACTTTCTGATACACATTTGGTGAATTCAACCAACGACTACGATCGTGGCCCTTACGACCACCTTCTAATTTTCTCCACAACCTAGAATGTAAAAAAAATATTTGTTTAATAAAAGAAATATCAGACAAATAAAAGGATACACTATCAGACAAAAGTAGAGAAACTTTTTAAAATTGTGTCTTTTTGGTTAACGCAGGGACTGAGTCCATTTTATGCATCGTTAAAACTACAGATACTTAAATAGTTCTTATTTAAATGAAATAATCGTATGTCTCACGAAAACTTAATATTTTATTCAGTTAAATAAAAAAGTATAGGGACAAAAATAGAGAAACTAAAAATTAATATAAAAATTACAAGTACATAGTTGTTGCTAACATTATAAAATTAATAATGGGTAGAGTAACCATGATTAGCTATAACTTCACGACATCGCTTTGGCATGGACTCCAATATATAATAATAATTCCAGGCTCTTTCAAAATTCTTATCAAATCTTTCTTATTGCTAATGTCACTTCGTCTTCCGGCGATCTAGTTCCTCCCACAGGTTTTCAATGGGGTTAAGGTCTGGACTTTGGGCAGGAAAATCCATAACCCTAATTTGTTCAGACAAAAACGATTCTTGTAAGACTTTCGATTTATGTTTTGGCTCATTATCTTGCTGAAATATCCAGGTTAAAGGCAAATTATCATCAACAAAAGAAATCATCACTTTTTTTCAGATGTCCAAATACATAAATCGATCCATTGTTCCTTCTATTACATTTAGAATTTTTTTTAGAAGAATTTAGAATGAGTGGGAGGGGGGTTAATCACTTCGACCTTACAGATCCATTGTGTCCCCCTTTCTTGAATCATAACTCATCATACAGTCCCAGGGCTTTGACAAAAGCCAGTATCTGGGACGGTTTTATAGAGGGTAGTTCTCCATCTCCAATATCAGTCGTACCAAAATTCATGGCACGAATGGTTGTCGTCTCGGCGCACTCAGTGATGAGGTGTACTGGTGTTTCCCCATCTTCCCCACAGAATCTGCATTCGCCGTTTCTTCTTAGTTTCAATCTACTGAGCTGTTCATTGAGGAGACAGTGTCCTGTTAAAAACGCCGTGACAATCCGAAGATTGTTCTTACTTAAACCCAGGAAGATCTGTGATTTTTCTTGATCATAAGCCCTCAGAAACTTATTCGAGTGTCTTAGACCGTTGCAAGATTTCCATTCCAGGTTGCGGATGGAATCTTCTAAGTTCTTGAGTTCTGCCTTGAGTTGGTTACCACTTGGAAAGCAGAACGGTTCTGGTCTAGTTAGTGGAATGTTCGCTCCTTTCCTAGCTAGATTATTTGCTTTTTTATTGCCTTCTATCCCTTGGTGAGCAGGCACCCAGAGTAGGAGGACTTTGTTTTCTTTGCCTAATTTATTCAGCTTCTCTATGCATTCTTTGACCAATTTCGAATTGATTGATACTGAGTTGATCGCTTTTAACGCTGCTTGACTATCAGACCAGATGGCTATTTCTTGTTCCGATAGTTCCTATCTAAGATAAGTTGTACGCATCTCTCGATAGCGTAGATTTCTGCCTGTAGGATACTAGGGTAAGTGCCCATTGGTTCGGAGTAATTAGCTCTCGGCCCAAACACTCCGATCCCTGTTCCCGTATTGGTTTTGGAAGCATCAGTATACCAAGTTATGGTTGCTCAATACTACATTGACATGTTTGTCAAAGTTGTACGTTCTTGGCATATCGTCCACTGGGAGTTGCAGGAGTGGTATTTCCTTTTTGAGGGTGTTCCAAGCCCCTGATCTGACAATTCTCCCAGTACTAATTCCGTTAGTGACCATTCTAATCATTGTCGCATTGGCATATCTACCAATGACAATGTGCAGTGGTGTTAGATCTAGAATGGCCTCCATTGCTGCTGTTGGACAGGTTCTCATGGCTCCTGTGATGCAAACACATGCTAGTCTTTGGACTTTGCATAGGTTTAGCCTTGCCGTCCGTTGCTCTAGTTTTGTGTACCAGGCAACTGCTCCATAAGTAATCATGGGTCTTACTATCATGGTATACATCCAGCGCAAAATGTTAGGGGAGCAGCCCCATCTATTTCCGGCCAGTCTTCTGCATAATCATGAGAGCCTTTATGGCTTTGCTGGTAGTGTTCTTAATATGCCTGTTCCACAGGAGTTTACTGTCCAGGGTTATTCCCAGGTATTTAACTTCCTGGGTTGGCAGTATTTCCTTTCTATCTAGTTGGATTCTTTTCAAGTTTTTCAGACTTCGCCTTCTGGTGAATGGCACTATCGCGGTTTTGTCTGAGTTGATACTCAGCCCGACAGTCCTACACCATCTCTCAGTGATACGGAGTCCTCTTTGGATAATATCACACAAAGGTGCCTTCATGTTTCCCCGAGCGATCATGACTATGTCATCTGCATACCCAATGCAGTGTATTCCCGCTAGAGTTAATTCATCTAGTAGTTCATCCACCACCAAGCTCCACAGCAAAGGGGGAGGTTACTCCACCTTGTGGAGTTCCTTGCGTTGTTTTAACAGCTACAATTTTGGTGCCCATCTGAGCCTCTGCTGTTCGTGTTGACAGCATTTCCCAAAACCAGCGAATAATAGTTCTGTTCACCCCTCTTGTTTCTAGAGATCGCCTGACCACCTTATGTGGTATATTGTCAAACGCCCCCGCAATATCCAAGAAGGCACAAATTGCTGTTTCTTTGCTATCCAGACTTGTCTGTATTAGCTCCGTTAATTGGTACAGAGAAGTTTCTGTGGATCTGCCCGTTCTATATGCATGCTGACTATCATGCAGTGGTTTAACCTTTAGATGATTTTCTCCAATATGGTTGTCAACTACTTTCTCCAGCGTTTTTAGTATGAACGATGTGATACTAATAGGCCTAAATGACTTGGGATTTGTCCAGTCAGTTTTGCCTATTTTGGGTATGAACATTACTTTTGCTCTTCTCCATGTGGTTGGTATATATCCCATCGCTAGACTGCTTCTTGTAATGCTTAGTAGAGTTACTTAGTTCTATTACATGCAGTTGTCCCATTCCATAGCCAGAGAAGCATCCCCACACCATGCAAGATCCACCACCATGCTTTACGGTGGCCTTGGTATACTTTGGATCAAATCTTCTCCCTTCTGGGCGATGTATCCATGATATGCCATCGGATCCAAATATAATGAATTTGCTTTCGTCTGAAAACAGGACCTTTTTCCAGTCATTCGTCGACCAGTGCAAGTATTTTTTTGCAAAGGTAAGTCGGGCCTTCTAGTTCTTCTTACCGATGAGTATTTTTTTGGCTGCTCTTCTGCTAAATAATCCTGCCCTTCTTTGCATGGTCCTAGAACTTATACTGACACCAGGTAGTTCACTCAAAATTTGATTTGCCGATTTTTGCGGATTAGTTAAGGCGATTTTTTTAATTACCATTTCAATTTTTTTTCCTGGGCCGACCACTTTTTTTAATAGTTTCTAAGGAATTGCGAGTTTTGATACTGGAAATCGTTCTGCTAATGACAGACTTATGCAAATTAAACATTGTGCTTATGTCCATTTGCCGTACACCATTCCGATGTGCGTTGATTATTTTTTCACAAAGACAAATAATATTTTCAGCGTGGCATATTTAGTAAAAATGTAAATCAGAATATCACCAGTTTTCACCTTGCAAATTACTAAGTATGATCAATTTTTATGTTGGTTTCTTTATGACCCTGCAAAGGGAATATGATTAAAACAAACATTACATTAAATATTTGAGGTTTCTGAAATCCGACGAGCTTTAAAAAGTTTCTCTACATTTGTCTGATAGTGTATATGTATATAAAAAGTCAAGACAATCTTGTTGTAGAATTCTTATTTTAAGAACTTTTTAACAGTTGCTCCAATCGAATTTATTAAAAACACAAATAAAAGTTGGAAGAATACTCAAAAAACCAAAGAAATAACCATGATTTTATTGAGAATAATAAAGATATTATTTTCATACTAACCCTTGTCTGTACAACTCCTCTTCCTCCAGTAAATATCCAAGTGATGAAACAGCTGGAGGTACTTCAACATCGTTCCTTGGTTTTGGTGGTTCTCCTTTCACTAACGGATGCCTATATATGTAGCCTGTGCGGAACCCAGCATTGTCCATCATGCGCATCAACGCCTCAAATTCAATGCCTGAAATTCGTAAATTCCGTTAAAGTTAAAAACCGTTGATTAAGATGGCACTGCGACTTAAAATACTATACAATCGAAAAAAACGGGGTCAGATTTGACTTGGAAATGAAAGCTGTCAATTTAAATAAGTCAAAACATGTCAAAAAACACCCATAGATAAAAGAAACAAATTTAGATTGGAATACTCGGCTTGCCGCCAAAACTTAATAATTGTAATTGTTTTGGAGCGCATCCGTTGTAGGGCGCTGCTATAGGCTTGGTGCATTCTCCGCCGGTGCTGCCACGGTCGGAGAATATCCCAAATAACGAATATATACAAATACGCGGGTTTAAATGGCAAGTAAATGAAAAAATTAGTATATAATTATTCTAAAAGTGTTAGAAACTATAATTTATGGAAATTCTAAACACAAAAATAAAAAGATAAATATTTTGATATCATCGGAAGGTCTAACTTGTATTGTAATTTATTATTTCAGCTAAAAAAACTTTTTACTCGAGTTCAACTATGGTAGCGAGCATAGTTTTAATCGCCGGTTTTGTCAGTGGGGTCATAATTGGGGCTATTTAGGCTATAACGACATTTTTTAAAGGTACATAATTATAATTTTAGATGTTCATAAAACATTTAATCACTAGTCAATTAAAAAAGTATACCATTAATATTGCAAATTATATTTTATCCTCTCATAGTATATGTCTATTTAATTTTTTGATTATGTAACGAGCACTTTTACTCACTTGTTTCATTGAACTGCTTGAATCCATTTTTGCTTTTGATCATATCGGTGTGAGAAACTATGAAGCTATAAAATGTTGTTTCGGGAGAGTTGAATATCCGGGAAAGTTGAGTTATTGAATGTTATTGCACCTAAGAACGCCCTAATTACGCTCTCCTTTGCGTGTTAATATTTTTTGCCAATTTTATTAACATTTGAAATTGTCACAATTTACACTTGTGTCGGGGAAGGGATCATAGTTTCATAGTTGTCGATTTTCGAAAGAAATCAGTACATGTATATTATTTCGTTTATTTTTCATTTTATTGATTGTATGGAAAGCACTGTTCATTAACATGTTATATCCTATGTTATAGGGCTTGTTTCTCTCTACAATTTCCTGTCTCACAACGTACCGTTTGTGTCGGGGCAGGGATCATTGTTTCATAGTTGTCGATTTTCGAAAGAAATCAGTACATGTATATTATTTCGTATATTTTTCATGTTATTGATTTTATGGAAAGCACTGTACATTAAAATGTTGTATCCTATGTTATAGGGCTTGTTTCTCTCTACAATTTCCTGTCTCACAATGTACCGTTTGAGTCCGGGAAGGGTTCATAGTTTCATAGTTGGCGATTTTCGAAAGAAATCAGTACATGTATATTATTTGGTATATTTTTCATTTTATTGATTTTATGGAAAGCACTGTTCATTAAAATGTTGTATCCTATGTTATAGGGATTGTTTCTCTCTACAATCCTGTCTCACAATGTACCGTTTGTGTCGGGGAAGGGATCATCATAGTTGTCGATTTGTCGAGTTCGAATTCATTTTCATTTATTTTTTACTACCCGAAACAGCGTTACATCATACAAACTTCGTACCTGAGTATTTTATAGCCTTAATACCCAAGTAGCATTTGGACGTTATCTAACGTCGGGTATACGTCGCGTTCAATAAACCCGACGTCGGGTACCAACGTCGGTTCGACCGCCTGACGACCCTTATTTGCACCTAAATGGGGGATACAGATTCGGGTCGCCTCGACGTCGGTATCTGACCTAATAGGGAATGTAATTCTACCAATTACCAACGTCATATTACGTTGGATTTTAGTCACTTAAAATTCGTCGCTAAGCACTTACGTTACATTTGGTTTCATATTCGCTACCAAGAATACATAAAAATCTAACCAAACTACCTAATTACAAATGGATTCATAATCACTCCTAGAATAGAACTATAAGTGCCTATCTAATTTCATATTATAATAATTCTGAATCATTAATCCAGACATCAGTTTTGTCAACGGAAGTCACTTTTTTGATATATCTGATTAAAATACTCCGGAAAACAACGAGCGCCTTCAAAAGTAGGTAGATCTATGAAATAAAAATATCTATAAAAAAGTAACTCGCAAAATATTTTTTTTATTTTCTAGCTGGTTTAATCATAAAACTGTACTGTGGTTCCCCCCAAACTCAGCCTTATCAATATTATTCTACTAGAAATCGGAATGTGAATATAAATTTTAAAAACAAAAAACGATTTTAAAATGGCTGACAATCGGATACCAGTTAAGAATGGCGGATTTCTGTGTTCGATTTAATATGAACTACCAATATACCAATTCCGACCGGGTCTCCAACATTAGTCTTCTCACACGACCGAAGTCATCAAACCGGACGACCGGCAATCGTATTATGACGTATATAATTCCAACGTACGCCACATAACCTCACTTTGCGTATCAGTGATTTGTGGATTTGTGCAACTATATTTTAGTTTTTGTTTTCTCTTTAAAACAATGGGCAGCCACTTTTTTAAGATAGTATATACAAAATTTAAAAGAATTGGAACCAGTACCTCACATGTGGGAGGAGGATGGGGTCTGCTGGTTTCCTAAGCTAAAAAATGAAATTAAGATGCACCAGTGTAATGCAGCATCTCTTCTGGATAAAAAGCATTCGTGGGCGGAGGGAAGACATCACTACCACTATTATTATTTTGCAAAAGCCTCGACCTCTTTCTGTAAAATGTAGATGAATGTCTAAATGCCTTTTTAGTGTTTTTTAAGCATAATAAAAAAAATTAAGTTTGTTTACAAAAACTTTTTATTAGGTTATGTTCATGATGTTTATTAGGCCGCAAATGCTACTTAATGGGTTGTATCAAAGCCATCTATATTGTCTAACGACATTATAGTCATTACTATTGTCATTAGACAATATAGATGGTTTTGGTTGTATTTACGGACGTAAATAGAGATACGTAAATTAGGTTAAAAATATGAACATAAAATACAACAAAATATAATTAGACGCTACTTTAGGGATTATCAGTGAGACGTATCCTATTCGGATAACGGGTAGACGTTGGGCTAGTTCAAGTATAGGTGCGTCGTGCAAGCCAACGTTGGAACGACGTTGGGAAATTAATAAAAATGGTACGTTGTTATTTTGTACGTCGACAGATCGTTGGATTTACCGACTCGGATCCAACGTCACTTTTAATAGGAAAGCGACGTCACCAGTCGTATCACCAGCACCCGACCTAAATTTGCACAATGTCTGACGTCGCTTCGGGTCAGATTTAGTTCGAAGTCAGATAGATGCTACTTGGGTAACTTCACTAGCAAAAAACTAAAATACTTAAATATTATGACAAAGCCACGATTTCAATATTATTTTAATGCGATTAACATGAATTGTGTACTGATAATTTCTGATTTCTGCCGTTGAAGCGCTGCGGTCGGAATTTGTTGAAATCAACTGATATGCACCAAGCCTATATACACTGATATTTACCTCCTACTCTCCACTTTCGTTCCACTTTGGCTTCCAAGAGAGACGGCTGGTCCGGCCTGGGTGTGCTCTCAGGCGCTCTATGAGCTGCATCATATATTTTCTTACGAGCTTCATCGTTTAGCAACACTAGATTGTCTAATCCTACAGGAAGAAGTTTGAGCTGCGATTCGGATGCTAGGACGGTATTTTTCGCGTTGAAGAATGCTTCCTCGATTGTATCGCCACAACATAGAGCACCTGCAACAATAAAAACAAATTTAATAGATAAAAAACAAGCGTGTGTGTACTTTACTAACAACTATTAAATTGAAAGATTTGAAGGATATATATTTTTTCATGAATGCTTTTTATAAACTTCAACAAAATTAGAGTTAATATAAAACCGTATAGTATTATAGCTTTATAATTTAATAGAACAAAATTAATTTTTATTAAAAAACGATAATTTTATCACCCGACCGGATAGCCCTGGCAGCTGTGGCCATTACACAAAAATATTACTATCTCTATCTCTGACTCTTTGAATAAGAAGACTAAGGAAGGAGCATAATGCTATCCATGTATTCATGCATGGTGGGCGGAAAAGCCACCATAAAAGCTCTCTAGGGTGGGGATCCTTGACAGTTGTTTGACGATTCATTTGACACATCTGAATTTGATTTGAAATTTTGTGGGTTTGTCAGTCTTTACGGAGCTTATTTTATGTTATTTATTATTTATTCTACTACTGATAGTTGTATAAAGGTAGTAAATCTAGATGGAAATTGTGGCAGAACTTAAATTAACACTGACACTATCGCGATTTATCGAAAAAGACTCTAAAATAGTTGGTTGTGTAGCGTGCGGTAGATCTCGGCAAAAATTGGGTGAAATAATGGAACAACTTTTCGCTAGTAAGTGACTATATAATATACATACGTGTAGTAAACCGATCATTTATGAAATTCACTTAAATTAACTAAATTATATATTTTTCTTGCATTTTTAGCTTTTATTTATTACTTGTCAAAGATTAAATGTCAAAAGAATTTAGATACGTTAATTTGACTTACCTGCTTCAGTAGCGTATCGGATGTTTGTGTTAATAAATACTTATTATAACTTATCTATTTTTATTAGAATTATATATTTTTATAACAATTTTAATAACTACCAACATTTATTCACAACGTAAAATAAAACAACAAATTATTGAGTCTACCCCACGTCTACCTTACATCATAGTTTTACATTTTTTAAATAAAATTAGAACGACACTGATAAACCGGAATTTAAGTCGGCCATATTTGAGGCCCATCGCGGTGTACCTAAGATTTTTGATATGCTCCTTCCTTAGTCTTCTTATTCAAAGCTCTGACTACTACCACAGATTATACAGATTAGAATCTTTGTTTTTTCTTTATTGTTTTTCGTGGTTCCAATTTTCGGAATCGGGCACTAGTTAGGTGACTAGTTTGTGCACATAGCACGCCCACTTATGGCCTCTAAAATTGTGCACAGCGCCTGACCGGCACAGTTATTAGAGAGATATCGGAAAACCGAATAGCGTCATCCAGTATTTACGCGTACCTTATGGTTACGATATGCGCGAGTCAATTTTTAACGCAACACCCGCTAATAACGTTTTACCGCCTGACGTAATTTGCGGATCAATTACACCAAGCGCTCTTTCTAAATAACCTCTGATAACGTTTAAAAATTGCTTAAATGGGCATGTGTTGCGGGTATTTGACAACCGGAGCCGGCCGGCGAGATCTTTTATTTTAAGTTATGTTTGAATTGTTTTGAATTATTGCTTTAGTTTTATTAGGTAATTTGATATTTAAGTAGCTGGAATTAGTTTTAATTAAATAAATATGGCCCAAAATATGTAGATTCCACCTCTTCCAATACTAAAGAACCTATAAAGAGTCTTAGGTTTACAGCAGATGACGACTTAGTCCTTCTAAGAGAATTTGTTGCCTGTTGCCCTAAACCCACTGGCAGACGTTGAACAATAAAGCACTGGAAATAAGCACTTTAGCCCTTTAGTTTTAAAATACCTATTAAACAAAACAATTTCAAAGTTTTAAATTCAAAGTTTAAATAGCGGACGCGACGCGATCAGAATTCTTTCCGATCCGATAACTCTAAATGAAGAGAGTTAATACCACCTCACGTAAAGGAAATAACACCTGGCCTTATTAACGTTCATGCACGCTATTCGGTTTAGCGATATCTCTCTATTACGCTGTTTATTGTTATTTTACGGGAGTTTATTTTTGCCCACAGGAAATTTGACTCGTTTGCACATCGTCATAAAAAACAATTTTCGTACCACGAATTAGGGAGAAGATTTTTATCTGTATACTTATAGGATACCTAATCTGTGCTACTACGAACCAATAATTTGTTTTGTGTGGTCTGTTTTTGTTTAAATGTTTGTCTATTATTCATTATTTATAGTGATTTACGGGAATTTTATTAAATTATAGGATTATTCTCTTGATTATTGGTTTGAAATAAATATGAGTGTGTCTTCCAATGAAAATACGAGTTACTAACTTTAAATAACTCTAAATTCTAATTCTGAGCTGATAAATGATGCTGACGGCTAGATGCTTTACCTAGACCGTTATTCAGAACCTACAAACCTATCAATGAAAATATGCATGAAAATTTACTTCCTAGTACACAACCAGAGGACACTGATACACATCAAGGTTGGTATTATATGTATACAGGGTTGTTCACCACTTACGACACGGAGTATTGTCGCTAAACGATGAGATTTTTCCAAATTGTAAGTTTTGGGTTCGATGAAGGACTATTAGAGGTACAATTTAAAAATAATTTTACAAGATACAGAGTGTCCCAAATAAGTAAAAAATATCAAAGTTGTATTTTTTTAAATGGAACACCTTGTATATTATTACATTTTTAGTTTCTACGATTAAAATAAAGGTAAATTTGATTAAGGTTTATTATACTTAAACCTTACCGTTTTTGAAATATTTTCAATTTTGTGAAATTGCAGTAAAAATTTGAAGGCTTCATTTCTCCAAGGGTATCAAAGTTTTTAATACTAAATATTTACTGAAGTTTATTTACTGATCAGTTATTGTGTTGCAATAATAAAAATAATACTACCTTATACAAAGTGTCTAAAAATTTATTTTAAATAAATAATTATTAGCTTCAAACGGCAATAACTTGTTTAATTTAAATGGAACACCCTGTATATTTTACGAGAATCAGATGCACAGTTTAATTGTCTATCAAATTATATTATACCATTTTTTACATATCTCTTTAAGTTTCCGTAGAAAATGCATTTTCTTGTAATTTAGAACTTATTTATCAATATACCCATGGACTATTGATATTTTAGATTATTTTTGAAGATGTACCAAATTTTTAAAGAGTACAGATACTAATATTGTCGATATAATTCGTTTATTTCATTAAAAAATAAAAAAAAACTGTTTAAATATTTGTTAAAGAGGATCAGTTAATATGATTCCAGTATTCAAACAACATTAACTGACTGTTTGCTTTGATTAATAATAATTGCTCCAAATACTAAAAAACTGAATTTTGTATGGGCATTAGACAGTGTGATAAAAAGTAACACCTTAAAAATGATATTTCATTTTTTAATAAATGCTTATTTATAACTACAGAGACTTTAATTTGATAACTTATTATTATATTGATTTCTGACTCAAATCCACATTTATTTATAATAATTTAATAACGAACACAATTAAGTATGTAATTAATTAGTATATGGGCGCAAATAATGGTGTTATATTTAATTAATGGTATACTCTTTTATAAAGATTTAAATAGTTTTCTTTTTGCATACAAATGGGCTAGTAATATTATCGTTTTGCTAAAAACGATAATATTACTAGTCTGTACATTTTGTACATTTGTTGCTTTAAAAACAATCTAAAATGTCAATATTCCATTGATATATTGATAAATGAGGTCTAAATTATAAGAAAATGCATTTTATACGAAAACTTGAAGAGATAGGTAAAAATGGTATAATACAATTTGATAGACAATTTAATTGTGCATCTGATTCTCCTAAAATATACGGGGCATTCTATTTAAATTAAAGAAGTTATTGCCGTTTGAAGCAAATAATTATTTAAAATAAATTTTTAGACACTCTGTATAAGGTAGTATTATTTTTATTATTGCAACACAATAACTGATCAATAAATAAACTTCATTAAATATTTAGTATTAAAAACATTGATACCCTTGGAGAAATGGAGCTATACATTCACCACAATACTCCGTGTCGTATGTGGTGAACAACTCTGTATAAGGCCAGTAGATTTAAGAAAAGTAAATATAAAAAAAAATTCTATGATTCTACAGAGTGGCGCACCTCATTCGCCTCGGTTGATTATACGAAAACGAAAAGATGTAGAAACAAAAATTTTTATGGGTATATGTAGAGAGGCAATGTGCATAATTTAAAATTATTTTCAAATGCCAATGGGTGTCAGAACTAAGATCCATACCTAAGTTATATTTTTTCTTACGGAACACCCGGTATTTTATTTCATTTTTGGATTCTTGAGCATAAAATAAGGTATTTATTATAAGTGTTTAATATGCTTAAATGCTTTGGTTTTTAAGATATTGAAAATATTTAAATATGCACGCTATAATAAAAAAGTTTGTCAACACCCTGTACATTACTTTTCAGAGTTAATTCTTGTGCTGACTTTGAAGCCAGAGAAATAAACTTTACTAAAAAATGTTATTGCTTCCTTAAATTTATACAGGGGTATCAAACATTGCTGGTCCATTTCAAATATTTATTTTACATAAAAACTTCGTTATTTCAAATACAACACTATGTATTTTTTAAAATAAGTTGAAGCAGATTTAAATGCTCTTTCAAACTATATTAGGCTTTCCTATACCTATCTGGCTCATATTTTGAATAAAAAGCGATTTTTCAATAAAATGGCCATAAGCGAAAATGCGGCATTTCTATTGCAATAAATATTAATTTATTAATTTATATAGTCTGTGAAACGAATAACTTTGAATTTGACAGTTCCCGCGGGCTTTTCTAGTGTTAATTTTATTATGTTAGCAACTTGCGGCCATGCTGACTGATGCTGACCAATGCCGTCTCTAATAGAACAGCATCGGAGCGAGATTTATGACGTCACGCTAGTTAGATACTACGATTAATAAATATGTTGTAGAATACATGGAAAACATAATAATTATTCCTCGTATCTTTGGTTTGTAGCTTAAAAATGATAGAGTTTACATGAAATACACATAATATACAGTTAATAAATACAATATATTATACCTATTCATAGTAATAAATACTTTGGCAAATAAACTATGAGCCATACAAATGCAGCAAATGTTTTACAATATACAAATAATGAATAGGTACATAAGATACTGGGTAAAATTTAAAATATATTCTAAATTTTGAGGTTTGAAAATCGATCTAATTTAACAAAAAACATTCATATTATGTAACATTATCTAACTAGAGTGACGTCATAAATCTGGCTCCGAGGCTGTTCTATTAGAGACGGCATTGGTCTGATATTTAGAAATGTCAAAAACTGATGACATTTTACTTTTGACAATTATGACATTTCGTGTTGATTTTTGCAAGAAGAGGAAGAACTGTCACTTGTTTTATTATTTTCCTTTTCTATTTCGCGAAAGTAAAAAGAGTTACCTATCTGATTCGTTCAGGCACTCAATTTAAAGAATATCAGTAACTTTTTTGATAGAGGGATTTTATATTTGCCATGCTAGTAAAAAATAACGGTCAAAATTCAAAATTATTGATTTTATAGACTATACTAGGACTACTAACCTTGGTTAGACAATAATAGCACCTTATTAATGGGTCCCAAATTTCTCGCCAGCTTGTCCTTCTCGTCGGTGTCTAGCAGGCCGCCCAAATAAGGGTGCGTACTGGTCTCGCCGATAACGACGCTCTCCTGACTCAAGGGCAGGAGGCCGTGCTTGAGGGCCGATACGGAAACTACGGAGGGAGTGTGCACATGGATGATGCAACGGATGTCCGGTCGGGCGGCGTGTACCGCCGCGTGCAACGAGAACGAGCTGACGTTGACGGAGAAATTGGTGGTGCCCTGTTCCAAAACGTTTCCCTAGAAAAAAAAGGACTGTATTAAAATATCTATTCAATTCGCTTGGTTGGTGCTGTAAAATTATATTTTAGAAAAATTTACACACGATATTATTGCACAGGGTGTTTTAAAGTTATAATAATAATAGCTCCCGTATATAGCGTTTAACGCCTTCGGTATACAAGGAAGGTAATGTGGCTAGCACTACGCTTCAACCGCCAATTATTACCTCAGGATTGTGAATTCCAAGTAATCATTTAAGCCTAAGGCCCGGTTGTACCAACGAAGTTCACCGACAGATCAGCTGTGAACGACGATCAAAGCAAAAAATGCGTTGTACCAAGCCTGAACGCCGTTCAAATTGCCCGGTCAACTGAACGGTGACATTAGGCGGTTCAAGCGTCGTTCAAAGGTAGACATAACCTTATTATTTGACATATTCCTCTTTTCGTTGTTTTGATTATCGTTTTGTTATTGTTTTTAAGATTTTTCGTAATGGATCCTTTATTAGGTGAATTAACTGAAGACGAAGACTTTTTAGAATTAGTGAGACAACATGAACGGCTAAGGAGACAACAAACAGTACGATTTCGACCAAACAATTTCGAAAAATGGAATGACGTGGATTTTAAAAAAGATTTCGACTTGCTAAACCTATTGGGAATTATTTAATAGAGGAAATTTCCGGTTTAATTGCATCTAAAACAAACAAGTAAGTTTAATTATGTATATTTACTGTATCTTATTTAAGCTTTTATTTTTAGAAATCATGCTTTAACACCAGCTGACATGGTATTTATCACATTACGGTTCTTAGCAACAGGATGTTTTCTACAAAGTGTTGGTGATATCAGTGGTGTAGACCATAAAATAATAAATACAAGAAGAAGTGTCAAGTCAATGTTAAATTATGGAAACAGCGTGGCTGCCTGGGTAACTAATTTTCAGATATGGCGGCTGGGACATTTGACATGACATAGACATGACAATTTCAATTTTATGAAATTTATTTCCGTTTCCGGTTTTAATGGCGGGCTGTTCAGGAGTTTAAATGAGGGTTAATATACCTTTTTACTCTTTCTAGTAGTAAATAATACAACAAAATTACTCAAAATATTTATTTGGAATTTAGAACAATATAAATATGCAAATCAACACAATTAAAGAGCTATAAACCAATAAACTACTGTATCAATATCAAATATTTAAATAATATCAGAGATGCTGTGGTTAAAGTGAATTAGTAAAGTAACAGTGCATTGACTTTACAGAAACTTGAAGATAAATAAATGTTTCACAGCTTCACGGGCATAAAACTAAATAACTGGAAGCAGGAAAAAGGCAACCGGAACCCACACAAAACCTGGAATCAAAAAAATATGTAAAAAACATAAATATAGGTACATAAGACTTTTGAATTAAATCAAACAGGACTTGAATGAAAATAAAATGAATAAAAAATATGATACGTTATACATCTAATACCTCATTTGTATTTTAAAATAATCTACATACATGAAAGGAAAAACTACATTAAAAACTACATTTAAAAATAATCTACATGCATTATTGCTATGAAAATACATAATAGGTACCTATGTGATATGTAATTACGCATTTCTGTTCATCTTGTAGAAAATTAATGTAGGCTAATAATAGTTCAATAATCATAATTTACCTTGTATAACTTGCTTTCAATTGCTCAAAATCACCTATCAGTCTTTAAAGTAGAGATACGGAAAAATCCTTGGCAAAGAATATCCCAAGATCCTTGGGTTTAAAGCTAAAAAATATAAAAAACGTTAATATATTACCTATTTTTACATATAATATGGCCCATACCTACACGCAGGAACGTCGATTTCATCATTTGCTTCATGTAATTAATATCATATATACTTTATTAAAGTGTTAACAAGGAACTTTATATCAAAAAAAACATCTTTTGTACTTATAAATTTCAGCCGAAATATCAGAAACAAACTTCCAATCAAATCTAAACGGCAAAAATTAAAATGGCGCCCGACCTTGCCAGAGGCCTCGGGAGCTGACGCTGACACACAGACAAAAGACAAAAGAACAGGACGTCGACGTGCATAAAAATGTTCCGTAGCAGAAATTGACAGAAATCATATAGAAATATTCATATTTTTGTCTAGGACAGTCTAGAAGGTCATGCTTTCTGCCTGGGTAGAACCGCGCCACAACTGTTTCCAATTTTCCGGTTTACTGTCACCCCCCTGGTGTAGACAAGTCTACTACGAGCCGCGTGATTACAAAAGTAACTAGAGCTGTAGCATCTTTAAGCAAGGACTTTATTAAAATGCCAATGGGAGTGGAAGATAGAAATTCAAAGGCACAACGATTTTATAATATTTGTCGCTTTCCAAGATGCATAGGAGCAGTTGATTGTACGCATGTGAAGATACAATCTCCTGGAGGGGCAAATACAGAGAATTACCGCAATTGGAAAGGATTTTTTTCATTTAATGTCCAAGCAATTTGTGACAGCGATTTGAAAATATCTAACATTGTGTGTAGATGGCCTGGTGCTACACATGATTCAATGATTTTTAGAAATTCTAGAGTAAAGGCTGAGTTTGAAAATGGAGTATATGGAAATAATTTATTACTAGGGGACAGTGGGTATGGAGTAAAACCAAACCAAACCAAACCTAATAACCCCTTTGGCGAATCCAACAACGAGGGCTGAAAACTTATTTAACGAAGCTCAGATAAGAACAAGAAACCCAATAGAAAGGTGTTTTGGTGTACTAAAAAGAAGATTTCCTATATTAGCGACAGGAATCCGTTTAAATGTTGATAAAGTAGAAGCAATAGTGGTTTCCGCTGCTGTTCTTCATAACATAGCGTGTCAATTTGCAGATCCAACACCATTAGTAACTGATGAAATTGAAGCGGAAATAATATAGGAGAGCATGTTCCAAATGACTTGGGTGGTATAAATAATAGTGTTAGATATAGTTTAATTAATGAATATTTTGAATCACTGTAAATATGTTATTTTACGATATAGAATATATTGCTGAGTATTAATTATTTACATCTAGAACTAATTATTTACGTCCAGAAAATGTTTCAATATTATTTTACTAAAACATTCTTGAAATGTCTTAATGTTTTAAAGTCAAAATAACTTGTTAATTAATTAAATTGTGATTATAATTACCATTACATACTCTTGTATATATTTTGATTTATGTATATAATATTTTTTATTGTATGTATAGGATTATTTTTATATTTTTGATAATTCTGATTATAAGTAGATAATTAAATAACCAATAATTAATAAATGATATTAAATTAATACAATTCAGTATACTTGTTGTTTGTACTAGATATGTAATATGTAAAAGAAATAAAACGATAGTAAATAATATGCATATTTTCAAAATTCATATATATTGTGTTTTAAGTGTTTATATAATATTTTTTAATAATTATATATTTACAGAGTATTTATTGGTCAATTATTTTTTTATTAGTTCCTTGCTAAATTTTAAAAACTGAATTCTCTCATCATGCTCCCTTTCTTGCTGCCTCATAAAGGCTTCATGCTTTTCTTGCATTTGAGACATTTTTAAATTGTGCTGCTCTAGGAAACATTTCTTTTGAAGCTCAGCGAGTTCAATTTTTGAACTACTCCAATCTGTTAATTTTTTTGTTAAACCCCTTACATACCCTCTAAATATAGATTTCACTTTATATAATAATATAATATAAAAAATAATGTATAATGTACAGATGTATTAGCTAGAACGTCTAAAAAGTAAATGAACGAATCGGTTAGCCGCGAACAAGTATTAAAAAGTCGTATTTTATGGCAACAGAAAGGAAAAAAGGTACCATAATTTATATTTTGGGAGAACCCGCCAATCAATAAAACAAACTTTTAAAAGCATTTACGCCAACTTATATAAAAACTCCAAAAGTTACTGTGAAATTCAATACCGACATAAGAAACTAAATATTGATCGACGTTCTACTGAACGCGAGTTGGTGCAACGCAATCCAAGTTCAACTTTGACCAACAGATCAGTTGAACTCTCGTTCTATTTATTTTGGTACAACCGGGCCTTAGTCGACCTAGGTACCCAAACTATTTTTATTTTAATAATGCCGGATGTAGGATTCGAACCCACAACCTTGAGATTGGTAGACGAGAGCCTGTACCTCTACGCCACCGGGCACCGTTTTAAAGTTAAGGCAAACAGTAGATAAGACAAGAGACGACAGTGAACAAAGAATTGAAAATTTCGCGAGAGAGACGCAGATATATTAAAATTTAAAGGTCCCATCAAGTCCCATTTTGTCTGTTGCCAAGTATATTTCTTTGAAAAATAAACAAGATTTTCTGAAAATAAATTAATAATATAAGGATATAAGTAACGTATGTTAATACGGAAATGTAAATTTTTAGTTTAGGTTGGTTTAGGTTCTTTTTTCGCAATGTACTGATAATATCAAAGAAACAGAATGACTAAGTTGATCGATTTCAAAGATAATCAGATAAAATCTGAAAATCTGACAACGGCGTATTTTATTTATTCTAACCTATAATTTTAGAACGCTAATCAGCTGTGCTAATCAGGCTTAAACATAAAGAAAATCTAATTAGTTGTTTTCTTGCATTTTTGCCTTTTTAAAGTGTGTTTTCAGAGTTTTTTTTGTAGCAGGAAAAGACGAGATGGTGGCAATGTGTGTGCTTATAAAGACTGCAAAAATAGGTCTTATTCTTCGACAAACATAATATTTCACTCTTTTTCAAAGGATCCTGAAAAGTATTTTTATAGAAATATACTATATAATTATGTTATTAAACTAAATGTAATCCATAGATCGAAGACATGGTTAAAAGCTTGTAATATATTTTTACAAAAAAAATTGAGTAACTCTATTTTTTGTACATAAACTCCACATTGTGATATTACACTTGTTCAAGTTCATACGTAAAAAAAAACACGCAAATAAAACATTTTTTACAAATCGACTTGGTCACTTTATCTTGTTTACCAACGATATACAAAATATTGCTTTTATTATCTTTATTCCCCGACAAATATGTTTCTAATTATAATTTATTTTATATAATATTTAGAAAACTCATTTTTTTTTTCGTTTCTATTTATTTCTTTACCCGTACAGTAACTATTTATAAGCTATACAAGCAAGTTTTAATAATAGTCTATTTCAAATTTTCCGCGTAAAAATTACGAAAATTTAAAGGGACAAGCGAGACGAGGTCACTCTCCCCACCACTCAAACATGAAAGGTACCGCGCGTAACTGTCGTCTCTTGTCTTATCTACTCTTTGGTTAAGGTAAAAAACACCACCCGATTAACCCTGTATTATACGCCAAAATGCCAACACTATATAAAAAAACTGATTTGTTTGCCGAGCGTGTGAGTATACAGTAGACTAAGAGAGTTGGTATAAACGCACACAAAACATCAACACCTTAATTTCCCGACAGGTAACGGGAGAATAAAAAGTTGCCGAAAACACTAAAAAAACCAAGATCGTTGCTTAAATGCTTTCATTGTTAAATACAAGTTGGAAAACATTGAGTTGTTTTGATGGTTTGATGTGAACGGCGGCAATAGATGTTCCAGACTCCTCCTGAAATAATATTTACGTTCCTTAATTGAAACGTTTAGAAGCATAGATGTTTCACTAATGCATGTTCAATTTTTGCACTGTATATTTAGGTAGTTGCATACCACCATCTGTTTTTCTATGGTTGTAGGTATTGTTTCACTCACAGCCTATTCATAACCAGCCTGTCATTTTCAACCATTTGCATGTATATCTGCGTGCCTACCTAGATATTCGTTTATTTTATGTTAAGTAACAAGCACTAAGCTCCAGTGAAGCTTATTTATAAAAAAAAACAATTGAGACTGGTACTCTGTCAGCTTCCACGTGGGCGAAAATAGGCGCAGCAAGTGACACGAGGATACTCAAAAACAAGCTGATACCGTGAAGTGGGGCGACTTTGCCCAATTCTGAACTTTAAATCGTGTTTATTTCAAAAATTGTTGTATTTTCTCAAATGCGCGTGATCTATGCTATAAGTTGTAATAAGGACAACACAACAATAATACGCTTTTTTGTTTATTAAACAAATATATATATATATATATATATATATATATATATATATATATATAAAAAGTAAAAAACTGGATGGGCAAAGTTAGTTGCTTATATGGGGTGTCTTTGCCCTCTTCCTTATTCTTATTGATAGACCAAAGCCACCCCATTTAAAAGTATAATTACGTAAAATATGCTTCATCACCCTCAATATTATAACGAACTTCTGCATAATACTTACTTCAATATAACGTGGTTAGCTATTGCAGCCACGTAGAAGTTTGAAACGCACAAAATAGGCTTTAAAAACAAATTTGGCTTCACAGCACTGTAAATGCTACATCGCAACTGACGGCAAGCGTTTAGCGACGTTCCGAGACGTGGGGCGCCTCCACCCATAATTTACCGATAACACATAACGCGTTCTTTTCAAGTAGTTGCTACGGCTACGTCTAACATATTTTCGGACGGAATTTGGCAAAGTCACCCCAAGAGGCAAAGTCACCCCATTTCACGGTACTGAATAAGTTGTGGTTTCAGTCAATCAGTTTTTGTTGAGAGGTAAAGTAGACAATGTGAGTAAAAAATACATTTTTACAATACACGACGCTTAATACTTTTGACTAGGGAATGCAATCCCGCACCAAAATCTCAATCCCGCAAACCCGCGGGATTAAAGCAATCAATCCCGCGGATCCGCAAAATTGCGGGATTGTACACAATAAATGCTCCTCTTTTCTCTCTCCGATTTTGGGATGCGGTTTGGACCAGGTTTTAGACGGATCTATTGTGATTAAGATGCTATGTAGTTTTCGAAAATATATTTAGCGAATTCTCGTATACAGGGTGTTTTATAATAGTATACAAATTTGGTCAAGAATCTTTTTTACCGAAAATTTACAATTTTTGAAAAATCGAAATGTATTATGTACGACTAATCTGTATTGAAATTAGAAAAAAACAATTTGGTGGGCTTTTTTAAATTGTTTGTTTTAAGAAAAAATATGCATTTATAGTCATACATTATTTGGTCCTAAATGGTACAAAAGGCATTGTACATTTTGCATAGACCTATAATATATTGATATAGCGTGTATCTTAAACTAGCTGTACAGAAATTTGGACCGATGTATACAGGGTTTTCAAAAAAAGTTTTTTTTTAACTTGTGTTAGTTATCTGCTTTTAGATACACTCTATATCAATAATTTTTTGGCATATGCAGAATGTACAAAGCTTTTTGTACCATTTAGGACCATCATATGACTAAAAATGCACATTTTTCGAAAAAATGTCGAATTTTCCTTAATACAAAAAAATTAAAAAACCGATCAAATTGTTTTTTTTTCTAATTTCAATACAGATTAGTCGTACTTGGTCAAAATTTCGATTTTTTAAAAATTGTAAATTTGCAGTAAAAAAGATTCTTGACCAAATTTTCACACTCTTATAAAACACCCTGTATACGAGAATTCGCTAAATATATTTTCGAAAACCACATAGTATCTTAATCACAATAGAGGCATCTAAAACCTGGTCCAAACCGTATCCCAAAATCTTTTTTAGTTCAAGAGATATTCAACTTAAAATTTACCCTAAAAAATTTTGCTTCTCCCGATAATTATGTCCGGCAGTTTATTTGACGAAATTGTCCACAAGTACTAGTTAAACGCTTTTATTCACTTACGCACATACGCCAGAAAGAAATCTAACAATAACTTGTTTGTTTCACTTATTTTTAATGGCCAAGCCGTAAGGGAAATCCCCTGGTGTAAATCCCGCAACTTTGATCCCGCAGAATCTCAGAGGGATCCCGCATTTGCGGGATTGCATTCCCTACTTTTGACACATGGAAAACATTACGAACAGTAGAATTAATGAACAAAAAAAAGTTTTAACTAACATAAATATTTTATTTCAATTTTTGTTGAATAAAATTTGGTCGCATAGGCAACAAATTACCAAACATATACCGATTTGGTCATTTTAGAAGTGTGGTCTGGATTTTAACGTGTAAGACAGTGATGTAGACAGCTTAATGGAAAATCAAACGTATTAAAAAGAGGTAAAAGTCGGGTTGATACATTTCTTCTATGCGGTATTGCCGGATTTTGCATCAAAACTTCAAACCGTACAAGTAGGCGTTTTTGTTGTATCCTATGGTTGGAACCTTATTTTTCACAATTAGTTACTCATTTTACTACAGATGTAATAGATTATATTTAGCTTAAATATACTATCGTAAGTATACATGAAAGTTTTTAAAATAGTTTTTTTTCTACACAAATTTTCCTACAACCGTAAAAATCGGCAACACTGTATGCCGCTTCTGATGTGTGTCAACCGATCATTTATATTATTCTCTGTTTTCCACGTTAAAATCCAGACCACACTTCTAAAATGACCAAATCGGTATACAGATAATACGATATTTCAAAGAACAAACTTACTTGCATATCCACTTTAATTAAACTTGACGCGGTAATTTCGTGGAATAGCATGCCGTACGGATTAACCAAAAATTGTTCCTCTTCTTGATTCAGTCTGGCTGTGATGAGTGTATTAGATCCCTGAGTCCATCCGTATAAATCTATCAATCTAAATACGGCTGCTAATTTACATCTAAGAATTTTCTCGCCTTTCGCATAACCCATTGACTCTATACCTAAAAAGAAATACATTTTATAATATACACGTCACAGTACATTTGATAGTATCTCTGTTTCTTTTTTCTAAGGTAAGATTTCGACAGACGATGACAGAAGAAAAGCAGATGACGTCCCATACCAATCTATTTATTTTACTAAAAAAAGTTTCATTGGTTTATTTCAAAAATGACAGATCATATTTCAATTTTATTGGTTTGACGGAACGATGAACGACAAACGGACGCCAATGCGTATGAACTCGCCTTTAGATTTTTGAGGCTTGTCAAAGTCTTGCCAAATTATAGGTTATAATTTTGTGTCAACTTATGTCAAATACCCTGCGTTTTGGAAGATTTTTTGGCATTTTGATTCGTGTTATTACGTGTGTTTTGTGTCTTTTGAAGTCAAGTGGAGGAAAAATCGAGGGAAAATTAACTGTAAACCTAGAGCACGGTTTATAGTTAATACTTGCTGCCCAGGCAGAAAGTCTTATACACCAATAAATTTACGATCAATAAAGTTTGTATACCATCTCGTCGTAGATAAGTGCATCTCGTATATGGTACGAGGATCATACTAAACATATATACTCAAAACTTGAGTAGCTGTAAAATATCGACATCACACGATAGGTAAATAATGGATTTTAGTACTGCAGAAAAATAATGTCAAAAGGTACTGGTTTAAAAAAATTAAGATTAAAGTTAATTAATCAACCTCTAAGGTATAAAATTTGAAAGTGTTATTATTAATAAAATAGTTTGTTTTATTTATGTTGTTTAATTTATTCCTGTGGAATATTACAAATTTGTATTTGTACAAAAGTTATATTGATAAATATAATAATAAATGCGGTAAGTTCCTTGAAGCTTGAAAGTATGAAATAGTTTTTTTTATATTTTTTGGTATGTGGTGTTTTGTTCTTGTTTGTTTTGTATTAACACATACCGTCTTTTTTTAAATAAAATAACTCGATTAATTTTTTTTCAGTTTTATACAGTTTTTTTTTCACAATATTTTGAAGTAATCACTTGTCACTCAAATTTTAAATATATTAATTTCCTGCTACGCGTTCCAATTGTACCAACTTATTTCTTTGTAAAATAAAATAAACTACTTTGAAATTAAAATGACAGACACATCTGTCACTGTCAAGGATCTTGTCGTTGGACATAATAGTGACAGTTTTGAGTTATTTTCAGTAATTTATGAATATTAAAACTGCATTAGAAAATATAAATAACTTTTAAACCGTTTTTTTGGGCTAATTTGTGATTGTCATAAAATGGCGCTTCTGGTAGAATGTTTATTTGGGTATAGTCATACAGGGTGCTTCGTTTTTTTATCTGAAAAAATAAACTAACTATATAAATCATAGTAGGTATATTATGGAAGAAATAGCGAAAGTAATAAAACCATATTACTATTATAAAATGCATTCATTCCTCTTTAATTTACGAAACAATGAATGTATGTACGTTAGTGAATGACTTAATACTAAGGAATTCCAATGCCACTTAATGTGTTCCATAAGGTTATTAACATTAATTGGAGGTAGTACTTTAAAATGGGAATTGATAACATATAAAATCAGCTCATCTTTTTACATAACAGATTTAATTTTAATGATCAATGTGAATTCATTAGAATTAATGGGTTTTAAACGCAACAGTAAAACAAATATTATATATTTTTTTTTTTTTTTTTTTATTACATTTTTATTATTACCTGCTATAGTAAATAATAATAAAAAAAAAAAAAAAAATTTATTTATTTAAATAAAGCGTTAATAATTTCTCTTTGAAGGCCTTTTTGACTATGATTGGATAATAGCAGGGTTTAGAATTGTTACTTCCTAACTCGTCTCCAAATTTATATACCTACGCAGAACATTTAATGAGAATAAAAATATTCTTGAAATTCGTGATATAATTTTAAGTAAAGGAAAACAAAGATGACTTTAAAAAGTATTAAAAAACGTATCATGATTATGTAAAGTACGCCCAGTAAGAGAAAGGACGATTTCGACCAAAGATATTCCAAAATTTACATAAATGGCAATGGCAGTTGTTGTCCATAGATAAAAGAAACAAGTTTAGATTGGAATGCTCGGCTTACCGCCAAAACTTATAATTGTTTTGGGGCAAGGACTGTATATATTCTAAAGGACTGTTCGATCGCGTCAAATCGCCGTGGAATGCTACGTCACGCGCTGACCAGCCCTCCACAGTGCGGCGGATGGTTATTCTAGCGGGACAAAATCTCAAGAGCAATGTTTGGGATAGTGTTGAGAAAATTCGAATTAAATAATACGACTAATTCGATAGTAAATTAAAACTAACTAATTCGAGTTATCTTTTTCGATATAATCGAGATAAAAATTAGTAGTATTATATATTATATCTGTGGTAACCGAATTACAAATGAACATAAAACATAACATCATATGGACGAATACGAATATTAGTAATTAGTATAGTACTATTAGTAGTATTCTTTCGTTCTGAATCAACTGAAAATTTTCACTTAAAACTGATTTATAAAGGGAATCGACAAAGAAAGGAACGATCCGATATAGAAAAATCAAGAAATCTTGTTGTTTCCTATACCACGTAGGATAAATCAGTTTCAGTGAAAATTTTCATTTCGTTTAGAACGAAAGAATACTACCATTATTTGGTTCATTTCCTTCTCACCCAAATTTCACCGAAACACCTGCCGAACACTAAATTAATTTTCTTCTTTTATCTAAATAATTATTGATTGCCAATGATAAAATTAAAAAAATACGAACCGCACGTAAACAGGGACATACTTATATCGTTTAGAAGAAAGCTTTTATTTTAGATATGAGCTTCTCAATAGGAATTGAAACAATCATAAACTCGGGCACTTTAATTTAAAACTTATAATATGTTCTAATTTATTAACGGACTCGGAAAGTTATAGAATAATACTATTGAAAATGCAACTAATTTTTTTTATGTTATATCAGTGATAGAAAAATAGGTATGGCAATAGGATTCAGATGTTTAAAACCCTAGACCCTAGACAAGCACGTAAGCTTAGGAGAATTTTATTTTAGGTTATTTATTTAATACTACTTAAATAAATTCGAATTATTTAATTCGATTGTGAAAAATATGAATCATTGACATAATATTCGATGGTGAAAATTATTCGATTATTCCCATCACTAGGTTTGGACATAATAAAAATATTAATAAAGAAAACGCTACGCAATGGCTTTAATAACAATATACGCACAAATATAATGGTTCTAATTATTTATTTATTAACCAACTTAGCATCTTATTAATAAAATAAATACGAATTGATAATAAAAATAATGCATATTATTTTACCTTATAATAAACACTGCTAATCCGTTAAAAAAGAAGAAATTAAAAAAAAAATACAAATAAAAAATATATACTATAAAAAAAAAAAAAAAAAAAAAAAAAAAAAAATTAATTAATTTGTAATATTAAGGTGACGAACAACCACTCTATAATATAACAAAAAAAATAATTTTAGAAAAATATAAAAGATAGATATTTCTAAATATATTTACACTTCTTCATGTCCAATTCGTATATAGTAAGTATCTAAGACAATTTTTTAAACTCAGTGCCTTTTTGATGGAGTTGTTTTGTTTTATACTATCCGATTGAAATTAATCTTTTTGGACATTCACCTGTTAAGCTTGAACTCCCTGTGACTACCTGTGTTGGAAACTATTGGTAACTCAAAGATCTACATCATTCTCTCT